GTGTGTGTGTGTGTGTGTGTGTGTGTGTGTGTGTGTGTGTGAGAGAGAGAGAGAGAGAGAGAGAGAGAGAGAGAGAGAGAGAGAGAGAGAGTTGGTTTTGGGATGGTGGTGTTTGCTCATTTCTGTTCTTCTGGCGTGATTGCAGGGTGAGGATTCTGGAGCATCAGATGAGTCCTCAGCAATGCAGAGTGAGTGACAAATGTTCTTTTATTTCCCCTACTGGACTCTTAATTTGTGGAGCGGGTCTTGGAAAATGCTCCCCACCGGGCCCGAGGTGTCCCAGCGGTGTCCCATTTTCCCAGTGCGGCATTTTATTTTTTTCTTTTGGACCCGGTTTTCTGTCTTTGAAGAGGTAAGCGGTTCAAACGGTCTGGCCACGTCTGTTTTTTGGGCCGTGTGAAGGTACTTTCTAAAACCGTTCATACCACGTCAAGGGATTTTCCAAAATCGTTCGCACATGAATCTCGCCCGTCGCTGCAATTCAGTGACGATTCGGTGTGCCAGCAGCCGTACAGTTCCCGCGCGCATCACATGTTTGGATACAAGCTGGGCTACCAGACCCGCACGGACCCGACCACCCGTCCGTGCAGCCGGGCCAGTGCCACTAGGACCCTCCCCGGGTCACCCCGGCGAGTTAAAAAAAGAGTGAGTTTCTTGTTTTTTCCCTGATGATGGGGGGGTTTTGCACGCTCGAAGAGGGACCCAAATCAGGTCTTTTTTTTTTTTTTGGTTCATGTCAGTTTTGGAGGGTCGGGGTGTGTGTGTGTGGGGGGGAGGGGGGGGGGCGGGGTTGTTAAGGGCCTGAAAGGGGCTTGAAAGAGGTTGAAACTTGAAAGGCCTTTAAAGGGTGTGAGACATAGTTGCGGCGCACCTCGGTGGTCGAAATTGTGCACCGCACCCCGCACTGCACTGAGCGCACCGCACTGGAAAAATTAAGGTCGGAAAAAAAAAGAAAAAAGTAGGGGGTTTCCTAGGCTACCAGAGCGGCTCAGGACCACTTGCCCGGCCGGGCCAAAAAAAGTAAAAAAGTAAAAAATAAAAAGTTTAATTTTTATTTAAAATTTGGTAAGTGCGAGGCACAAGGCCTCGGTGAGCCCTACTGGGCCCTGTTATCAGCAAGGTCGGCCGCCTTAAGTGAAGGCAGGCCAGACCTAGGACTATTATGGACTACCACGCAACTGGGGAAAATTCAGGCAGTTGCGCAGCGCCAGTTGGTTGAAAGCGCCCAGGCCCAGGCTTCCTCTATCGTATGAAACTGAGGCAGGCCCTGGGCCAGATACGCAACATGTACCGAACACAGGCTGCGGGCAGTTGGCCACAGGTAACCACCACAGGCCCTGGGCCTGATTCGTTTGGTCTGAGGCTCAGCCTCTTGGGGCCTACCGGAAGCTTCTGGGCTGAGGCCCAGCGCAGCCTGGCCGCACGCAGCTGGAAGGGCACTTCCATATAGGAAAGGTCCTGCCCCCACATTCCTCATTCGGGCACTGGCTGCATGCTGCGCAACGCTGCTGCGCTAAACGCTGGCCAGGCTCACGCGCTCACGGCCGAGCAGGGAGAGGAAGGCAGCCGTAGCCGAGCTGCTCTGCATAGCTGGATGGGGCGCATGGTGGTCCTTGGGTGCACGTGGCATCTGTGAGTGGGGGATCGAGGTTGTGAGTAATACGAGAGACATAGCTGGTGCTTGAGGCGAACGGCATTGGCCGAGATCTGCTCGTACTTCGGGGGGCTGTTGATGTCACCAGCAGCATTGTAGATAGGCGAGATAGGATGTCGACATTGGTTCTTTGTTGATGGTGATGAGACTATTCGAACATTGTCAGTTATGAGCTTTTGCTGTGCTCTTATTTGGTGGGACTCGTGTTGCAATGCTGCTTTTGGTTCGAGGTCACGACTATCTGGTCTCATGTGTATGTTGATACTTGGTTTCTGAAGTTCGCTTTCGCTCATTTTCCTTGCAATTTGGTATCGGAGCTGTGGTACAGTGCACTAATCTGGCGCTTGTCTTCTGCCTATGCGGTACATGCATGCGGTCTGCTGGGCGAGTGGCCGTACGAAGTGGGTAGTTAGGAGGGCGAAGGCAAGCAGGGCGACCCAGGAGGTGAGGGGTATCGCCAGGAAGGCTGCGTGGTGAATTATGGGTGTTTGCAGTGTGATGAGAACTATCTGGTGTGCGATTGATGCTGAGGTGGAACGGCGATGTAATGCTGGTTATGCCGAAGCAGTGATTGGTCATCATAGTCGACATCAGGTCATCTGGTGAGAATATCTGTGGTTGGGGCCAGCTATTTTGAGGTACGTTGCACCTAACCTTATCTACCCTCTTCGACACTTCTTACTGTGAGGATGTGTGTTCTGTCTTGAGAGTCCTCTCATGTGAGGAGTCGAGTGCACTCAACCTTGAGAGTCGGCATTGTTCACGTGGAGTATCTGGAAGGAGAGGGCGGAGCTATCTGAAGGGCCCTGGACGAAGCACTTGGTCACGGTCACCATGCCAACCCACCAGGAGTAGAGCACGCATGCTTTGCTGCTTTGTCCTTTGTCTACTTGCTGCGCTGATAGATGGGTTGTGAGGGGTAGGCCAGCCCTACAGGGGAGACGAGTACCGGGCGTCTATAAATAAACACTGGCGGGGTACCTTCCATTGGCTGTGATCGTCGTCCTGTATATGACGTTAAATAATTCCTGAGGGCTTCGGGGGCCTTCCTTAAACGCCTCCTGATCAGCCAATCGGTCGGTGCAAGGCTCGCTGCACGCAAGGATAAACATTGTGCAGGGCTGGCCAGCTCAGCATACACTCGGGGCACAGGGGCGGGCCGTGTGCACACCTTTAGACACGCACACTGTTCTGGATCGCTCAGGGACGCTGACGTCAAGTGACCATCAAGAGGAACTGAGGGAGGGGTAGATTTCAGGTATAAGTTCGTGTTTAATTCCACTCTGCAAATATCCACACAGACGATTCTATTTTTATTCTTGATTAGTTAGATGGACTGCCATTGACATCTGACAGACAACATTAGGTAGATTTGCTCTTTGTTCGTGGACTACTCGAGTTAAAATAGTTTTGTTTGTAGGAATTTGGACTTACTTGTTGACCCGAATGTGTAGACTCTGACATAACCACCAATTATTTATTTAATTATTTTAAATTGGTCTATGCATTACGCTGCGGTAGGCATCGTGTGTGACCTAGCGCAGATTGTGCTCAGTTCTGTAGCTTATGAGTGACAGGGAGGAAACTAGAGAGGACGACAAGATCCTGCGATCAGCGAGGCGCCCGATAGCCCACTTGGCATTAGGACCAGAGAGCGCCATTTCCTATTCTGCCAGCAGAGAGAGAGGCAGCAGCAGCAGCGAAGAGCTAGGGCCGCAGAGGCAAGCAGGGCATTCGCAAGCGAGGCCGCTACTTCAGCAGCCATGGCAACTGCTGTGCAACAGAGCTCTCCGGCTAGTAGTTCAGGGACTGTAGGGTCAACGGTCGCACAGACCCTGAGTCAGTCCGCTGGCGTCATGGCAAGCCAGCCGTTAGTATTGACCCCCGAAGAGGTCGTCATACAACAAATAGGTGCTCAGGAGGCACAACTACAGAAGGCTTTAGGAGAGAGAAAGGCAAAAAAAAAAAGAATGATCAGGAGAAGAGCAAGGATGCAGCGGAGAAAAGCGGACATTAGTGGATGATGATGTGAGGACCCTGAGGATGGTCTTGCTAGATGTAGTAGAAAAGCAGGGTCACCAAATGGCGCTCTTACAAGACATCCAGCAGAGCCTGGCCGTGCTGGTCGGGCGAGTTCAGGCGACACCATCACCATCAGGGCCTGGTGCTTGGCCCGTGGTACAACCTCCTCCTTTTGTCCCACCGGTTACTGGGGTATCCCCATTTGTAATTCCTCCAGCATCGGTACAGGCCGCTTCCCTAGGAATGCCTTTGACAGGAGGGTTCTCAGCAGGTCCTAGTGTACAGATTCCTGTACATACAGTGTATTCCCAAACTCCGTCGCAGGTTGCCGTAACTGGGCAGCCTGCTGTCTCGCAGCCAGCACAACCGTTGGGCACACAACCCCAACAACTGTTAGTGCAGCAGCCTGCGCCCCAGGGTCCACAGCCCGGAGTGGGGCAGGTACCGGGACAAGGCCAGTGGGTTCCAAAGACGGCCATCGCCTCACCCAATCCCTTTTCAGGGGACAAGAGGGGCGAAGACCTCGACACATGGTTGAGGTCAGTGCCTGTCTACGTTAAGTGCAAGTTGACCTTGCCACACAAGGAAGTGCTTGTGGCTGCCTCCTATCTCGAGGGGAGCGCAACATGATGGTTAAGCGGGCTAGTGCAACTGCAGGGATATGGACACGACTTCCACGCTTGGGCAGTCAACCAGAAACTAGAAGACTTCCTCAAGATGGTGGAGGAAAGATGGCATGATCCTCGGGAGGCCCAAAAGGCCACTTATGCGATCCTGACTTTGAGCAACAGACCGTTCAAGTCAGTAAGGGATGCCACAAATGTTGTAGAGCGTCTGATCTGTGTTCCTGGAGTGCGCTATGACCCCCAAGTCTTCCTGACCACTTACCTGAGGTGTCTTCCCATGCCACTCAGGAATCGGTTGGCAGGCTAACATCAATATGCACAACTTTCGTTCGTTTAGCAAGAAAGCCCTAGACCTGGATGCAAAGATAGGGCACGGGCACCAACCCACTACGGACGGAAGGAAGAAAACACTGCCTCCCAACTGGAAGGCGAAGGGTCGCATTATGTTCGTTGACAACGATGGTTCCACCATCGAGTTGGACGATGACTTCCATGAGGGAGTAGGTGCAGAGGCGGGCAACGTAGAAGCTCCGGGGGGKGCAGCAGTCGCTGCCTCAGTTCAAAAAGGCAAGGCGACCGGTAGACGCCGTGGAGGCTCCCGGTCTAGGAGTCAAGTTGACCCTAACGCTCCCCCATGGGAGAAAGCGGGTCTCATTGAGGACGTGTGGAGAGACCGGTACAACCGGCAGGCTTGTATCTGTTGTGGCCAATATGGCCATAATAAGCTCAAGTGCCATAACAAAGAGGTGACCGAAAAGATTCCGCCGACAATGGGGTAGGTGACGAGATCCTCCGCTTCCGTAGGTAGCAATGTTGCCAGTAGTTCTGGAACTGCTCTGGGAAACATGTAGGGCCAATAGGAATAGTAGTTGTTCCTGCTAGGGTC